AGAGGGGGCCTCTCCTTCCCCCTCCTCCCAGAAACAGAAAGGGTGGACACGTCGAGGATCCCCATTTTTTTTCTCCTTTCCTCCACCCCGCGAATTTTTTCCACGCGTGCCAAGTCCACCGCGAATATTGGATTCCAGCCGTCCCTTTCCTCCCCCCTTCTGGTTCCTTAATCAAACGGAAATTATTCGCGGCGAGTTGTCACCTCGGCATGCTCGGCCAGAGGTTTCCACCCCTCCTACCGTTGGAAAAAAGTTTGAATCGGAATGCGCTAAATCGAATCACGTTCGAGGAGCCCAGAGAGGGAGAGAAAGAGGGAGGGAGAGGGAGAGTTGCGTTTCCACCTGAACACCCTTCATCGCGAGCCGTTCACCTGGAAACAAAGCGAACAAACCCCAAGCACTTTGCCTACGCTCTTCCCACCTACTTTTCACCTTCCTCCCCTCCCCTCGAGAATCGATTACGCGATAGCTCCTCCCCAAGCATCGTGTTTTCCACCTTAACGTTACTGAATTTTCGATTCGTCGGAAATTAGTTCGGTGTTTTTCGACAATCCGGATTTGTAATCGAACTTGGAAACTTTAGGAGGGAAAGTTCGGCGGTTGGATATATATATATATATATAGGGAGGAGAAGGGTGGAGGATTGTTTCAGGGTCGGTTAGACACGGATGAAATTTGGAGGAACTCGAGTGTTTGGTTCTTCTTTTTAAAAGGAGGAGGGTTATTATATCGGTTAATCACGAGGAATCTTTTTTTTTTTCAGATTCTTCTGGATTCGATCTCTTATCCCTTGCCGTCCGAAATTTTAAACATTCGTTCGTTAAATCGTGATGAGGAAAATAAAAATTTTTATATCTTCGTTGTAACGATTGTGAAAAGTGTTATCGATGATTCGAGGAATTACGAAAAGAAGATTAAAATTTCGAGTTAAGTAAATTCAGGGAATAAAAGAAAAAAAAAAGAGAAAATTGATCGAACGTTTTCCCTCTCTCTTTCTTCTCAAAGTTTCCGTTTTTCTTTCGCGATAACGAGAAAGGAATCTTATGATAAATGTACACCCCGATTGCAATCAGCCTTTCGCTTAATTCGATTGCAACTCAAACAACGAGGCCACGATCCCTTCGAATTAAAAATCAACATCGATCCTAGGGGGAGAGAGGCGAGAACGATGTATCGATTTGTGATTGCAATTAAACAAATGATACGTCGAAGGACTCGTCGAAAGGAGACACGATTCGAACTTCGAATCGAATTCCCCTAGACTTGGAATCGAGGGAGAAACATGCGTGGAGAGTTGAACAAATCGAACAAAAAAAAAGAACAAAGTGTTGCACACAGAAAACTGAAATTAGGATCTTTATTTTCCATTTTTATTCAAGGAAAACTTTTCCTTCGTTCGAGACAATGAAGAAGAGGAAGCGTAGAATAATTATTATCGAGGACTTTATAATGAATATATCGATAAAATGAAAAGTATCCGAAGTAATAATACATTTTTTCCAAAAATAAAAAATTGAGAAACAAAAATGTACGTACTCAGACACAAGGTACTCGCACAACTTTTATAAAGTATAAAACTCTTAAAGGAAAAACATCGATTTCCTTTGTTCCAACTTAAGACGAGAAACATCTTATTTTTCTAAAGGCTTGTTACCAAGGAAACTGGCTACAAAATCCTAGTGAAAAAAAAAAAAAAAGAAAAGAAAAAGAAAAAACGAAGAAGAAACCCGATATGATACGAAGGGTCGTTTCAAAGTTACTTAAATAATAAAACTCGTTCGAATATCGAAATCAAAATCAAAATCAAAATCAAACTATACAAAGCACAAGATTGCTTATGAATCGTAATACTTAACAAAGATTGATCAAAGGAGAAGAAAAAATGGGAAGAAAATGCATTTTACGCAAAAAGTGAGCGTCGGAAGGAAGAGGCGTCGATTAGAATTTAATTAAGTGAGGATATAAGGCAATTTGGCAAGGCGGTCGCATTTACAGGAGCCGGGGTCGGCGTTAATCGGATGAAGTCTGCGGTCTACGTAGGAGCAGTAGATATCGCGCCACGAAATGTCTTGAGATCTCGCGGGGGTTCCCCCATCCCTCACTCTCTCCCTCCCTCTCCCTCTCTTCTCTCTCCTCCCCCTTCTCTTCCTGTCTGCCTGATTGAAACGGTGCCGGTGGAACGAACCCCTTTCGTCTTCCACGCGGGTATTTGACTTTCAAATCGCGCCTAGACCCGATATAACGCGTTATAACCAACCACTCCATTTTCGAGAAGCAATTCCGCGCTAGCTGACGAATAGCCATTACCCATCGGGCTAACGATAACTCGATTCACGGCGATTCGGGAACACGGACCGATTTTTCCACCGACGATATAGAATTTCGTTTCCTTTGTCGGCTGTTTGAATATTATTTTTCCTTATCGCCACCTTTTTCAGGATTCCTCGGAATTATATAGAAGATTCGAGAATTCGAGAATCGGTGCAAGCTTGAAGGTGTTTGTTGGAATTTGTTTGGACGAAGATGATCTCATGATTTCGAACGATGATAAGTTGTTAGTTGCTAAGATTTTTTTTAAGAGTATTATTCCGAATGGGATACCTAAGAAAGCTTTCTTCGAGGATAAAATTTGTTTGAAAGTGTTTCGAAACAGGTAGATCGAGGATTATAGAGATCGGTTATTGTTTCGAGAGTTGGATACTAAGTCGTTGGTGTTAAGATTTTTTTTTTTT